GAGGAGGAGGAGGAGGAGGAGAAAGGAGGAACTTCGCCTGACACGTGGCACGTGGCACTTCGACCGATAAAGAAAACTAACGAGGAGGAGGAGGAGGAGGAGAAAAAAGGAGGAGGAGAGAAGAAGACGAAGGGAGGTGGAGGAGGAGGAGGAGGAGGAGAAGGACCTGCCGGTTTCTTGATACGTCGACGAAAAAAGAAAAAAAAAGGATGACGAAGGAGGAGGGGAGAGAGAGAGAGAGAGAGAGCTGACACGTGGCGCTTCGCGCAACGGTACCGTATCGACGACGCCGGGCAGCGAGGACGAGCTGGGAAACGGGTGGCGACGGCGGCAGTGACGACGGGCACCTCGGCGATGGCGGGCAGCAACGGGCATCGTCGGCGGGAGCACTACCTCGACGAAGGCGGGCAACGGCGGGAGCAGCTCGATTCTTCAAATTCGAAGTGGGCGCGCGGCAGAAAAATTTTGCGCGGGGGGGCGCGGAGGCTCCCAAGGCCCAAAAAAGTCGAAACAGGCCTCCCTCCCCCCCCCGCGCAAAAATGCGCTGGGCCCGGACGGCATCGAACCAGGGGACCCAACCGGCCGGGCCGGCCGGGACCCCTGCCGGACGGAGGCTGGGCCGCCGGGCGGCCTGGAATTTAACACAGTTCTGATCTTGATATCGTGTGTGTGTGTGTGTGTGTGTGTGTGTGTTGTGCGCACACACGCTTGCAGATTTTTCACTTTTTTCCCCCTTCTTTTTAATTGGTCCCAATGGACCATCCTTCTCGAGCAGGTGTCTGCTCCCTCCCTCCTGCCTTCCCGTCCTCTCTTTCTCTCTCTCTCTCTCTCTCTCTCTCTCCCTCTCCCCCCTCAGTGTGCATGTCTTCCCTCTTGCAACTGTGTGGCTGCACACACTTGCTGCGCGTGTTTTTTGTTTTTTACCGAAATCACTTGCTCAGGCTTCCGGGTGGTTTTTTTTTTTTTTTTTTTTTTCTCCCCCTTCATTTAACTGATCAGTCTGTGAGCAGATTTTCCGTTTCTTTTCTTTAAACGGTCCAGATGGACCACGGATCAGATATGGAACTAATCACATACTACACCCGATTGTTTGGGGGGGTCGATCCTGGAAAAGTGTTATGTTTTGACGAGATAACAATCCCTTCTTCCCTGTGAAGGTGGTAAGTAAAAGAAAACCTAATCCTAAAGGTATTCAGGAGTGGAGTTTGAATGATTGTGAGACCAAATATCAGTTTCACTTTGATGTTTACGATCGCGTTCACAGATGCCCAGATGCCCAGTAGCACCAAGCTCTCTCTCTCTCTCTCTCTCTCTCTCTCTCTCTCTCTCTCTCTCTCTCTCTCTCTCTCTCTCTCTCTCT